TAAATGACTAATAGGAATAAACTTATTGTGAGCTAATGACTATGGTCAGCATGACCCCATTACTGAAGGATGAATTAAAGCAGAACTGTTAAGCACGACTTTCAATATTACAATCCCTCCCACTCTCGTTCAGCCACACAAACACCCCAGTCACATTTGTTCCACCCAGTGCTTAAGGAGGACACTAAATATATAAACAGAAAATCACTGGGATTGTGGGTGTATTCTGCCTAAGCAGCACACACCAAAAATATGTCCTTATAATCACATACGTATTTCCTTCTTGGTCTTTAACAGCCAGGGTGAGTCACACTGCTACACTGTCTTATAATCTAGACAGCGATTTGGAAGGCTTATGCTAAAACACGAGAAAAATGCAAAGAGCTTTCCTCTGCCAGATTTAAGGGGGTAAATCTTATTTCCACAGTTACCTATTACCCCCAAGGAGTGAGAAGCAATTATCCACCCAGTAAAATAATTCTTAGTCAGTGAATTAAACCATCCTAAAAGCACATAAAGATTAACCAGAATTGAAAGGTATTAGGAAGAGGATAACAGACTCTCTGTGGAAACTCCAACCAAAACCAGTTTTTTTCTTCACATCTTTGTGTCTGTAATTGCTTTAAAGATTGCAGCTTTAAGGGTTAAGCGCTTAATACAGCTACACCAGCTGCCCCTCTTTTCACGGAGATCTCTTCCCAGCCCTTCAGCTGAACCCTGCCCTGAACCCACAGGTAGCACCACGGCTTTCAAATACTTGACATGCAGCAGATGCTCTAGCTGGCCAGCTGGCTGATACTCTCCCACTCCTTTCCATACTTGCCTTCTCTACCCAGCATTTTCCTGTTCCTCATCTCCATCCTCTCCTGCTGTCATGTGTCTTTTATCCCTCTATTTCTGCTGCATCCCACATAGCTAAGGGCTATCTTTCCTTGCTCTCGCTGTCCCATGTGCACTCTGAAGACACATGAAGCCACGCTGCCCTTCGCAGTTCAACAACCTCGTTAGCTCACAAATAAATAAAAAAGAAAAATCAATTAGAAATACCACTCTGTTATAAATGGCAACCTGCGGCCCAAGCCAGAGGAGTATTAGGAACATGTGGGCCCTCAGCCAGCGAGACTGCAGGCGGCAGGGGACAGGCACCTGCCCAAAGTGCAGGCCAGCAGCGCAGAGCGGCAAAGTCGCACAGTCTCCGGGCCGGAGCCTTTTCCAAACTCATCAAACTGCAAGCTAGTACAAAAAAACAGCTTCTCAGCTGCCAGGGTAACATGCTGCATTCTGGGTATGTCAGCCAGCCCCACTGCTCTTCACAAAGGTTTATAAAAGAAATCAAAGCACCTACCATGTAATTCTTGAGCGCACAACATTTCTGTGCTGACAGCTCCCTGTTGTTGTGGGCGGAAGAGCCAAACAAAATGATGGTGCTGCTTCTTCGCAGCCATATCATTTTAGCTGCTTAGGGACGACTGGGTGCTTCTACTTCTCAATAGCGGATTAAGAAATATTCTTCTGTTTCTCAACAGAAATATTTTTATTTCTCAGTTTAAAAAACATTCATCTTGTGACTACAGCAAGTCCCATATAAGCACAGCAACCACAGCGCTATAGAGAATTACCTTGATGAGCAACCATTTTAAATAAAACAGCAGCTGCTAATTGTCAGCTGGAAGTCTGTACAGATAACGGGATGTGACATGAAGACAGTGAGATGTACAAAAACAGAAATTCACTCAGAAATATACTTCGCTCATGCATCCTTTATACAAGAAAGAAAAACTTCTACCTCAGTGTATTAAAAAAGATTCAGTGGTCCAAAGCAATTAATGTGATTACTAACAAATGCATATTCTCCTCAGCTTTCTAGGAAGTGGGCCACATATATGAACCTGCACAGCCCAAGTGATGAAACATTTTGGGGATAATTCTACTTGTGAGACAACTAAGTAGCTATTCTTTAAACTCCTGAACAGCTCTTCCCCATCTTCCTTCCCTCTGTCTCCTTGTCAGAGGAGCAAATGTGTCATCTTGTAGCCTACCTACTTCCACTGAGACTTTAGACCTGGATTTCCAATACGATTGTTAATTGGCAGTATAATTTGTCCACTCAGAGGAACTATCCTTGGGATCAGAATGCTACCCATGTACCTACATATATCTACATATAACTCACCCAGTCTAAGCCTAAAGCTGTCCCAAACTCAAAACTACATCCCTCTGTATCTACCTTAATTTTTTTCCAGTGTCAACAAGACACAAATGACGGTTCAAAGCCATTCATGTTAGTGCAGAAAAAAAGTACTGTGTTTTGAAAAGTATGAAAAGATGCTCTGGCATGAACAAGTCGTAATACTTGCATTTGACGTTTCGCATCAGTGAGGAAGAGGAAGAAGGTTCATATGCACTGGGCAAATATTTCATTTGAACTGGCTGAGATATCAGAATGATGCAGAAGAAGCAAGGAAAAATCAGCCCCAGCAGAACTTCATATGAAGGCAGCTATACTGCCTCCCAGACCCTGGCCAATGCATGAAGATGCGGAAAGAGACAGAGACACGCAGAAGAAATTTAAAGCTTTTAAAGACATTTCAAGAATCTATCTCAGCACAATGTAAACATAAAAGAGATGAAATCATGATTTTTGTAGGCCCAATCAGATAAACTTTTAAATAAATTTATTGGTCCTAGCCAATTATCTAGCAAGTATCATACAAAAGGTTCTCTCCTTCTCTCATTAACATAACATTTGTACCAAGAAATTGTGTTTGTACAACTCATTAGGAATTTTTTCTTACATTTATGACACTCATTAGATTTATAATCATTCATTGAAACTATTCCATAATGAGATGAATTTTCTATTACATATACTGAATAATAATTCAGTACTGGTAGACGTTTTGCTGTTTTATATGCTTAGTTTTAAAGAATAATTAATTCTGCAGAGGCTGCACATGAGAGAGAAGTATTTATACATGCATTTGTGTATGCCTATTTACTTAAACAACCTCATTCAGAGTTCAGTGCAGCTTTCTCAGGAGCTGCATCCTTTCCCCCAACCATAGTTACTTATAGTCTCACCTGATAACTTCAAAGAGATGTTTAGTGATACAGCAAAGTGATGCTGGCCTGAACTCTGGGTTCATCCCTTCTGAGTCATCAAAACAGTTATATAAGGTCATAGCTAAAAAAACTACTCCTAGAACTACTGAAATTAGATCTATATTAGAAAGATCAGGTCATGCTAGACCCAGGAGATCATTCTTTACATTTCATTTCCTGGTGCTTAGTTTCAGTTCACCTGCAGAAGAAATTTCAACCTTAAGATTATTCTAAGTATGTATTGTAAATTTTGCTTACCTAGAAAATTATCATTAGATAATAATTATTAGATCTGTGATACAACTCAGTGAGACAAGGCAGCATACATTTCTGGGATTGAAGGTAACATACCCACGATCCTTCTTATCCATTGCATATGTCCAACTGCTGTCCTCTTACATTGTGCCCATACCATTTTTTGAACAAGTTTAGGGATTCTTTATAAGAGGAAATGTACGTTTTGGCATTCATGGGTGACACAGAATACCTTCTCAATGGCACTGAAAAAATGCCACAGACACATTCATAATTGCCATGGTTCATGCATTCAAAACCGAATGTCTGAACAATGATGAACATGAGAGCCAGCAGATATTTCAGGACAAGCCCTCATACAAACCAGATGCCATTTGTATCTATTGTTATTCTGTAAATTATTCATGTGTAAGTTTTAATGCTCATTTCTGTAGATAGCTATTTGTTTTATTTTCAACTATTAAAAACAGGTTAGAAACATAAGCATTCACAGCCTATATAAGTCCACATGTCAAAGTGTAGGTACATGATAAGATGTTCTCTTCTTCCCTCCAACCCTTTTCGTTTTCTCCCTGAAATCTGAAGACACAGGAATATATATAGACACAGTTAGTACCCTAGGTATTTTGAAGAGTTTTTTTCTTGAACTGCTTCAAATACTTTCTCTTCTATTTTGTTTATTTTCTTTACCTGTAATTTCAATTCGATTCTTGGATGAAAAAGTACCAAAAGCGACAAAAGAGTAAGCATGAAGAAAACGCAAGTTGAAAAGAATGAAAACTTCAGTTGATGTCCTGGCAACATCTAGAGGGGTGAGCCCACACTTGTAAAGACACCTCAGATCGTCTTTTAGGCTCTACCAGTGTTTTCTCCTATAGTCTGGGGTGAATAACTCAACCTCCCTAGTTCAAGTTCCCATCTATAACTGGGTCAGGATTACCACATCTAACCCTTCTTAATATCACTGCTCATTATGCAAAAATAGAAAAATAAAAGCAAATATCATAGCCAATTTAATGCAACTGTTTAAAACAAGATTATGTAATTGCTTGAAACTTAGTTTTTAAGGTCACATATACATTACTTAGAAGCAAACACTTTCTTTCATAAATAAGCCTGTCTAAATCCAACAGACCAGTAACGATGACACTAGTATCTCTCCTTGTACACCAGATAAAAACCATCAGTCATGATGATTAAATCTCTTCCAGTCCTCTACCCACAAGACAGCCATAGATCAGCTGTTTGACCACACTGAAAGACTACCATGTCTACCAAGTAAAAACTCCCTACTAATTGCTCAAAGGCAATAAAAAAAATCTGAAGTGCTAACACTGAGGTGAACACTATATATATATACACACATACATATGTGTGTGTGTGTGTGTGTGTGTGTGTGTGTGTGTGAAAGCATTAAGCATTGCTGAAGATAGATGCAAACATTCCTGGAGAGTGAAGAAAGTCAGAATGGAGTGGAAGAGAATTCCTGTCTTAGCGGCTAGAAATTGTTTTACTCGTTTGCTTTGTTTGTTTGTTTTTAAAGACTCTGTAAGAGACCCGCAGTAAAAGGCTCAGAGCTACTAAAACTAAATTACCTGTGCATATACAGAGGAAAAAAAAAAGGAAAAAAGACTGGCCCCTACCATCTCCAACAAACTGAAGGAGGGCTAGATCAATCTGTCTTTTCCAAGGTGATCCTTTCTGAAGTGCTATTCCATAGCCTGTAGTGGCAAAGATGTATCCACTTCCTATTGTGACAAGTTTGCAGCCTTCATCTCTTCCAGCTTTGTAATTCAGCACCGCTGCATCATAGATGAAAGCATCCAACTTCCTGAAATAAAAGAAAACATTTTACAGATCAAATCATTAGGGAGAGCAGTTGTCAGACTTCTTTTGCCCTTGATGTTAGGACCCTTTTAAATATCATACAGTTTCTTTGATATCATTAATCACATATGCAACTCAGCTGTATCTAAAATTAACAAAAGGCATCTATTTTTAGTGAGGGGAAAGTAGGGCACATTAGTTTTGCACTTCTATTTTAAGAGATGTTGCTAACAAAAATACTGCAACCAAGCTACAGAATGTCTTGCCCTGTTATCTTTGTATCTTTGCTCTCAAAATGGGTAGTAAGTATCTTGAGAAGCAAAATGATATCAAAAGATTACAGAAATGACAATAGAGAATTTAGAATTGAAATAAAATGAACCATTTAGCTTATTTAAAATACTGAATGAGACTGAAAACATGATTTAACACTTTCTCTACATACTTTCATCTTTTTGTCTTTTTCCAAAATTAAACAATGAAGGTGGAAATAAAGTCCTTGCTAAGACAGAGGAAGGTAATAACATATCTGATACAGCTATCTAAAGTTCTGTTTAAAAAATATAGAAGATATTGCTTTACAATTCATTGTCTGGACACATTATTTGTGTACCTGGAGCACAGCAGGATTTTTCAGGAATAAAGGAACTTGCCATGGAAAATTTCAAACCTTTCACCCCATCTACCTAAAATGTAAGAATGGGAGAATCCCATTCTCTAAGGTAGACACTGAACACAATGAAACAGAGGAAAACAAAAAAGCAGTAAGGAAAGGAAAAAAGGGCAGCATCAGTTAGAAGAGGTAGTTGCATGGGTGTTTTACAAATGAAGCCAGTGAATGTGCACACACATGAAGAGGAGGCCATTTGGAAGAACAAATCACTTGGCACCAGGAGACCTGCATCTAAGAAATAACATTCTTATACCCAAAGAAATTCATATGCAATCTTTAAAAGGAAAAAGATAAAAATTAAGTATATTTTGCATAGGTGCCTTCATTTGCAGCCAAAATCTTTAACACTGCAATACAGATTTCTACCACTTGGGCAACAGGACAAGCAGAATACAACGGCAATAGGAAAAAATTTATCATCTTGGTCCATTCAAAGACCATCTAAATGATGCCTTGCATCAAAATTACTATCTACCCCAAAAACACACTTTTCAATATCTTTGCCCACCCTGCTTGAGTCTGGGAAAGGGGGAGGATACAGTCCCGCGTCGCCCCCACCCTGGCTCCGTGGCTCGCGGCACAGCACTGCCACTCTGCACCTTGGAAGAGCCACGGCGCATTACTGAAATTTGCTGAAGGAATGCAAACAACAGGGGCTGGGAAAAGGCTGCTTATGAACAGTTGGGACCTGTCTACATGGAAAGGGAATTATAAAAATATATTCACTGTAGCACAAACCGATACAAACTTTAATTATGTTGTATCACTACGCAATATGTACTGGTTGTGAATTCAGTTGCTGTTGAAGTTTTGGAATCACACTTGCCACTAGCACAAATCAGTGTATGTTGGTAACACGTCATTTGTATCTACAGAAAAGCGCAAGATCTAGGCATATCACACTTTGGCTACTGACAGAGTTTAAAAAGTTAGTTCCATGCACGCCATGATCCAATGTTTATTCTTAAATATTTAACCAACAGAGTCAGACACAACCCTGAACCTTCGCAGAACTCCAGATCAGATAGCAAAATAGGTGCTAAGGAAAAAAATGCTATCCTTCTCATGCTAGACTGACAGAAGTAACAGAACAGAGCAAAGCTGTTGGATTTTGTCTGCTGCTATGAAAAAGTATAGAGTGAAGTTTCTCTGATTACTTACTGTAAATTATTGCTTCTCTTCGACGCTATATACCCCCACAGTCACCCTCCAAGTTATCATACTGGAACTCAGTGTAGTTAATTACAAGAAACTAAGGGTGGCTCATGCAACCATTAAAAATAATAAAGGTTAGCTAGGCCATCAGTTCCTTTCTTTTCTACTCTTCCCTCAAACTCAGTTGGTGCAATTCTCAATTTAAAAGTCAGTTTACCTTCATTAAGTCTAGAAATCTGACCCTCTCCTTCTTCTCCTTCTAAAATGTAGGTATTTTAGCACGGAAAAGACAAGTGTTTCATATCTTGAAATTGAAACGCCACAACCTGAACATAGAAATAAGATATGGCTACCTAGCACTGAGGATAATTAAACTGGGGAACAGGCAGGAGGCTGCTGGGGAGGAGGCATTGGAGTCCTGGCCATGCCTGTAGTCTTTCACACAAGGACTGACAGCTTTCTAAATGACATGGTTTGATTCAGCACTTTGGAGACATTCTTTGGTGTGTACGGAGAGAAGGAACAAAAATCTGTGTCCTTTGGGTAGGGGCACAAGTCAAAAAATGAAGAAAGACTGTTTGCATTACCCTCAAGATACTTATAATATTTCTAATATAAAGTAGATAATTACCATAGTCAGTATAGTCTAGTCTCATGCTTTTAGACTTCAGCCAGTCACCTGTGAGGACAGGAAGGATACTCCCCCTTCTCGATGGACAGCTTTGGCTCAAGCAACAGGGTGGCAGTTGATCTTCTTCTCTATAGACACTGACCACCACTGCAAAAACCAACCTAAGTTAAAACACATTGGGGAAACTGCCATCTGTTTTCAAAATTCTTTTTTTTTTTTTTTTTTTGCAATATAAGCATATAAAACACATGCTGGTAAACACAGAAGCAAAAACAGAGTCAGGTCTTGTTCTGTCAAAATAGAGCCACTCAGAAATACAGAGGGAAAAGACATCTCCGTTAAAAGATTCCAGGCCAAAAGCTTTGTGCTACCTTTGAAATTGCACTGTTTGTATGATACTTGCCTCCTTAGTTATTCAGCAGATTACTAAAATTTTGGGACACAAAGACAAGGCACAACAGCAGTTTCACTCACTCCCTGTGGATCCCTCCCAGACTCCCCTATAACAGCTTTGGCAGCAGCTCCAGGGCGTGTGCAGTAAGGAACACAAGTTCGGAAAACACCAAAGGCATTACTTTCTGGGGTTTTTACTATTCTGCTTCAAAAAGGTCAAAATAAATCTCAGTATACAGATTTAAAAACATGAGGCACCTTCCTGACAAATGCTGAGCGCTGAAAGGTTCTGCTATCAATTCCTGCCCAGTGCCTCTACTGTAAATCACAATGCTGATTGCCCTGAAAAAGACCTGCATTTTACAAACACAAACTCATACTCAGAATACATTTCTCCCTTACTAGCATAAATCTTATAACCTCTCAGGGCTTAATTATCCCTTTAGCATGCTCTGATTACAGCAGTACCATTCCCCGCAGAGCAAAGCTTCAGAACACAACATGCCCTGGCGCGTGGGCAGGGAGACACGAACCACAGAGCTTCCAGCCGGCAGGGCAGCTTCCTAGGAAACCCTGCAAAGGAGGAGAATTTTCTGACACTCTACAGTTTGAAGAACTATAAGCCTTCCTCAGGAAGAGTTTCTCAATACTAAAGAGTAAAATGTAGGCAAGTCTGAGAAGTTGACCCTACCGCAACAGTTTGCGAAGGCAGTCGGCAGAGTCAGCTCTTCTAGGAAAGGACAAGGTGGGCACTTGACTGCCAGCAGACTGCCCTGGCAGCAGCTTGCTCCCTGCTTTGTCTACGTCAGGAACGCCCAGCCGATGCCAGGCAGGCTGCGTGCACGGCAGGGACTGCTACGCGTAGCAGCCCACCCTCCTCTGCCTGCTCCCACAGCAGGAGCAGCCAGCCTCGCCTCTGCTCCAGCTCATCCTTTTGTGCCTTCTCTCCTCCTTTCTCAGTAGAAGGATGGTGAAGCCCCAGGATCCTTGTTCTTGTAGCAGCAAAATTCAGTTGTGTTGCACAGCTGAGAGGCTTTGAATTGGCTCAAGTAGTGACCTCTCTGCTCTCCAAGTTTATAATGGCTTACATGCACTGAGTACAGCACCCCACATCAAGAAAGGTTCAGAGCCTTTTGCAAGCTTTAGTCACATTAAAAGGAATCAATTAACTTGTCATTGCAGGGCAGCCACTTCAGGAGCAAAACATTGTGTCACATTGTGTAGGTTTAGAAAAAACTCTAAAGAATTATTGAAAAGATGGTAGAGAACTATAGAGACTGGAATGCAGCAAGCTACAAGATTTTAACTGCCGTGGACTAGCCAAATGTGCCAAGCATCTTTGATGAATGTATGGGGACAGGACTTCAGCATGATGACTCATCTAAGAAACTGGCAGGTTTGTAAATGTCCTCTGAACTACTGCAACAATCTCAGGTAGAAGATAAAATAAAGATTTTGGAAAAACTATATAAGAGACCACAAAGGCAAGTGTCCTTCGTTACTTAGCAAACACAAAGAGGAAAGGGCAGTGGGGAGAATTTTAGCTCACACAACCTAGGAGAACTTCAGGCGTTATAAAATTATGAATTGGAATTGCTCTAAAATAACCCAAAAGAGCATTATTGATTGCAATGGTTTTAAGTGGGAGATCTGTGAAAAACAAATGTGGACAGTCTTGTACCTAAGCATTTATGAGTCACTAAAAAGTATGAGAGCTGAAAAATGAGAATAGCTATCACATAAACCCATTCACCGAAGTGTTGCTGCACACAATCAAAAAATGACTGCATAAAGAAATTGAAAGTTAGAGCAAAAGGTAGGGCAAAGTCATTTTTGAAAAGCTGAAAACACTTCACAATGTAACAGTCATTTTCTTCATCTTCATTATTGGCCCATATTTTTCACCAAAATCATAAAATGAAAATAAAGGCGTTGATAGGTGAAGTTGGGAAAATGCCCTTTTATTAGTGACAGCTTCTTCCTCAAGAGTAGAAGCGTAATTCATTTGAAAAATGGTACTTTGCTTCCCTAACCAACTACATAATCCTTGAGGGATTTTGTTTTCTTAGCAGAAGGAAGACAAGGGCATAATCTAAAACGGCATTCTGCTCAGTAATTCTGGAGAAACAAAGCAGTAATCTAGCATACTAGA